AATTAGAAATGGCGAAGTTCTCTCTGGCCTCTCTGGAGGAGGCTTCCTTTCACAGTGGTGCCAGCGCTGTTAATCTACAGTTCACACAGACACGTCTTAATTCCACCCACCCCCCTTCAGGAATGTCAGGGGAGGATCGTGTAGACAGCACATGCAGGTGCAGAGATGCAGCTTCGGAATCAAAAGCATAAAGAGCTCAAGCGGGGTAAACCATAACAGTGCAAAGCTATGTACATCAGGGAACCAATACGTGATCAATAGGTTAAGGTCCGATCCTGACCAGTGTTCCCTCTAAGCTGTGGAGCCTTGCGAGCTACCGGCATTAAAGTTGTGAGTGAGTGATTTGGCTACTGCGTAAATTTGCTCTGGAGCAGTGTTCCCTCTAAGCTGAGTTAGTGTGAGCCAGCTCACAGTTTTTTTAGCCTCCGGCTCACACATTTTTGTCTTAGTTCAGGAAGGGATGGCTCCAGAGCAACCTAATTTAGGCAGTAGCCAAATTGCTCGCTCACAACTTTAATGCCAGTAGCTCACAAAGGAGAATTTTTGCTCACAGAACTCCACAGCTTAGAGGGAACATTGCTTTGGAGCCCTCCTTCCTGAGCTAAGACAAAAATGGGTGAGCCGGAAGGTAAAAAACTGTGAGCTAGCTCACACTAACACAGCTTAGAGGGAACACTGATCCTGCCACCCACCACCTCCCGAGGAAGCCTGTTCCACTGAGGAACCTCTCTGACTGTCAGGAAGTTCTTCCTCATGTTTAGCCGGAAACTCTTCTGATTTCTTTTCAACCCGTTGCTTCTGGTTCTATAGATGCTCTGCCCAAGTTCAGTTGAGCACATGTAGAAGTGGAGGGGGGGGGTATAGCTAGTTCTGTCATGTGCCGGGGATGGGGGCAGTGTTTCCTCTAAGCTGGGTTCGTGTGAGCTAGCTCACCGTTTTTTAGCCTCCAGCTCACACGCGTTTGTCTGCGCTCAGGAAGGAGGGCTCCAGAGCAACTAATGTATGCCGCAGCCAACTCGCTCGCTCACCACTTTAATGCCGGTAGCTCACACAGTAGAATTTTGGCTCACAGGACTCCACAGCTTAGAGGGAGCATTGGATGGGGGCCAGTGCATCTGTTCCCACACCGGCTCCATGCACGTTGGCCCCGCACAGAGATACACTTTAGGCACAGGGCTTCCTTGTACTCGGTCTGCAGCTGCTTTGGCCGTCTTTTGCGGAGCAGGGGGGAGGTCTCTACTGGAAGATTACAGCTGCCAAAACTCTTGCAAAGTTCTCCTTGGGAAAGTGACAGGTGCGCAGGCCGTAATACTCTGCCACTCTGTGCTCTGTCTTTTTTTTATTAACACAGTAGATGTACTGTGTTAGAGCCAGTTTGGTGTCGTGGTTAAGTGTGCGGACTCTAATCTGGGAGAACCAGGTTTGATTCCCCACTCCTCCACTCGCACCTGGCTGGCTGACCTTGGGCAAGCCGTAGCTCTGATAAGAGCTGTTCTTGAAAATAGAGCAGTTTCTGTCAGAGCTCTCTCAGCCCCGCCTACCTCACAGGGTGTCTGTTGTGGGGAGGGGAAGGGGAAGGAGTTTGTCAGCCGCTCTGAGACACCTTTGGGTAGTGAACGGCGGGGTATAAATCCAATCTCTTCTTCACTTAAAAGATGACAGATTTCTATTTCCAGTCTGGGTAACAGAACTTCTGACTCTCAAAACCTTGTGGTGGGGTCGATTTTGTTAAGTCTCTTAAGGCAGGGGGCCACCGACACGGTGCCCATGGGCACCACGACACCCGCCAGGCGTTTTTAGAAAGTAGACAGTGTCAGGTGGGGCAGTTGGCCACTGGAGAGTTGATGGGCTGTACAGATTTTTTGAAACTTGCTTTGGCATTCGCTGCCACAACCCAAGGATTGGAGCAAAGCACAAAAACCACCGACTAGAGATAACCAATATATGAAATGTGTGAGAATGGTCAGGGTCTGGCATACCTTTTTTTTTTTTAAGCCCCCGGAGGGGATTTTTTATTGCAGTTGATAGCAGTGTTCCCTCTAAGCTGAGTTGGTGTGAGCTAGCTCACAGTTTTTTAGCCTCTAGCTCATACATTTTTGTCTTCCCTCAGGAAGGATGGCTCCAGAGCAAACTAATGTATGCAGTAGCCAAATCGCTCGCTCACAACTTTAATGCCAGTAGCTCACAAAGTAGAAATTTTGCTCACAAGACTCCATATCTTAGAGGGAACATTGGTTGATAGTAAGATTAACCGGATTAAGACTAAATGTATGGTTAAGATGGTGGGATGATCTCCTCTCTTGGGTTTTTAGTCAGTAGTGGGTATCTTTCTTTATCCTATAAATGTAGTTCCCCCCCACCCCCATTTTCTGTTGTAGTAGGGTGTGGCATACCTGAGGCCTTTCCCCATATGTTCCCCCAAGGGCACTACGGTCGGGGGAACAACATCTTTTGGTTACCCCAGGCCCCAGGGATGTCAAACTCGCTGTGACCAGGGCCAGGGCCTTTTTGGTGGCAGCTCCTACCTGGTGGAACGAGCTCCCGGAGGAGATCCGGGCCCTGCGGGACCTTGTGCAGTTCCGCAGGGCCTGCAAGACGGAGCTCTTCCGCCAGGCTTTCGAGTAGGAGCTGCCGCCGCCACTGTACCACCACTGCACCGCTACCGCAAAGTGCGGGGATCCCATCGGGGTGCATGATGGCCCTGGGCCAAAGATCGGAAGGTAGCGTTGTCTTGGAACTTGCTTCATTGTTCTGGGTTCATCTTCCAGAACCCATCTTGGAGTTATGAACTTTCAGAGCACCAGCACTTTATTGTAATTTTGTATTGTTTTATTGTGCTTTCAACTGTTTTATCATGGCTTTGTTCCCTTATCGTTAGCCGCCCTGAGCCCGTTGGGGAGGGCGGGATGTAAATTTGAATAATAATAATTCAATAATGCAAAAATATAATTATATACCACCAAGGTGTAGAAGGAAGAATAATACTGGAAAGAAGAATAAAGTCCCAAGTATTTTGCTGTGTCTCACTCCAGTAGGGTTGTAATATCAAAGTCCAATTTGACGTGCAATTCCTCATGGAGTGGACATTTAATAAGTTCCATAAGCCATGAAAAGCCATGACGCATAGTCCGGATGCTGGCTGTCGCGTTTCGAGTTGTTCTTATTCAAAAGCAATAGGCTATAAGTGGACCCAATCTCAGTAGAAGGCACAGACAAAGCCAGTATAATCAGTCAAAAAGGATTATGGGTCCTTGGCCACTGGAGATTTGATTGGCCGTACAGATTTTTTTTGACACTTGCTTTGGCATGAGCTGCAACAACCCAAGGATCTGTATGGTACGGTTGAAGGTAAGCTGGGGCAGCCATTTTGTGGCTCT